CGGTCGGGTGGTCGTTCATCCGACGACCTCTAATGGACGATCTCCACCTGGATCATCGAAGCCGCGTTCGTTCCACAATTGGAGACGTACAACCGAAACGTCATGGAAATCTACACATTCGGCGCCAAAAAATCCGAAAGGTCATGCTCCGTATGAATCACGCTCATCACGGACCAAATGCACCGACCAAAACTCCTCGTCCAAACCCCCAATCGGGGAGAAGGTGACTAACCAAACAGAAGACAAAAAGGGGGAGCAAGTTGATAAATACCTCTGCAAACGTCAAACTGCAACATGATCTGCTGGTCACAGCACAGATCAATGTTTAAAACAAAAGGGCATTACCAATACGAGCCAGAGCTTTGCTAGACACTGGATCTAGTATGAATTTCATGACTGAGAAATTCGCAAACTCCTTCGGTATGAAACGAAGGAGATGTACGGTCCCAATCGGTGCCCTCGACAACTTAACTACGATCGCAAAAAGCCAGATAACGGCAACCATTACTTCTATAGATGGCACATATGAACGTATAGTAACGTTCTTGATAATTCCGACAATATCATCACTAGCCCAAACCAACCAATCGATCGGTCCGCAATACAGATACCCAAGAATCTAAGACTAGCCGACCCAGCGTTCCACAGACCAAGCCCGATCGAAATATTATTAAGCTCGGGACCTACTTTAGCGTCATTATGTGTCGGGCAGATCAAAATACCCCAACCGAACCCACCGATACTGAATTGTGTTTGCCAAAGACTCGATTCGGTTGGGTTATCGGGGGGAGCCCACCCGCTCTATCCATAGACCACCATACATTTTTCAGAATCGGAATTACAATGTGAGAAACATTTCCGAAACCATGTCCAACGCAACAAGGAAGGGCGATACATCGTCACCCTGCCATTCAACGAGAAGCTTCCCACGCTTAGGACGTCAAGATCCGTTGCAATGAGTAGGCTCGCCTCTCTTTATCGCCGATTCCAACGCGACAAGCAATTCGAAGCCGCATATAGTACGGTGATTCAAGAGTATTTAGACTTGGGTCACATGACGAAGATTACGAATAACCGCCCCTCAAACAACTGTTATTATTTGCCGCATCACGGCATGATCAAGGAATCGAGTGATACCACTAAACGGATCGGCAATTCTTCGGGTTGTGTTCGACGGATCGGCAATCGGCACCACCGGAGTCTGCCTCAACGATACTCTGCATACAGGACATAAACTACAAGAAGACCTGGTTGAAATTCTATTGAGATTCCGATCAGATCAATATGTCCTAACGGGTGACATTGAGAAGATGTATCGACAAATCCGAAATATCAACTGACTCTATGGCGTAATTTCAACGGGGAAGATGAAACATATCAAATCAACACCGTGACATTCGGATTATCGGCTGCCCCATACTTAGTCCTACGATGCCTAAAAAAGTTAGCAGACGATGAAGGACATCGATTCCCGCGAGCATCATCATTGTTTTTACAGCGTGATTTTTATGTCGACGACGCCCTCACCGGGGCCGATATGAAGGAAGAAGTATTATCGGTAAGACACGAACTCACGGACCTTCTCAGATCGGCCGATTTAAACATCCGGGAATGGGCATGCAACGATAAGGACATACTGTGAGGACTATCCGAAAAAGACACAAATCGAAGACTACAATTGGGTGAGTCACAAAATTTAAAAACATTAGGTATTTATCGGGATTCCCAGGACGACGCAATCCTTTACTCAGTGGAACCCACAGCGACCACCACTCGTGTCACAAAACGATCAATTAGTTCGGTGATAGCCCGAATTTATGATCCACTAGGATTGCTTGCGTCAGTGATTGTCAGAGCAAAAATCTTACTTCAACGCGTCTGGGCATTAAAAATCGACTGGGATGAATCTCTTCCAGCAGAGTTGCATACAGAATGCAATCGATATTACATCCAACTACCCCTACTTAATGATATTCGGTTCCCTCGTAAAACAATAGTCAAAGCAGCTAATAACATAAAATTACACGGTTTTTGCGACGCCAGTGAGAAGGCAACTCTGATGGACATATACAAACTCAATTACTTACTGTGCGATCAAAAGTGGCGCCACTAAAATCTCTAACTATCCCAAGACTCGAATTAAGCGGAGCATTGCTTCTCACCTCGCTAATGTCCGTGGTAAGTAAATCACTTACTATAAATGTTTCTCGGATCGTGCATTGGACTGATTCCACTATAGTGTTCCAGTGGATCAAGTTCTCGCCACACATGTTAAAAACCTTCGTGGCAAACCGCGTGGTCGAGATCCAAACGAAAACCAACATCGCTGACTGACGTCATGTGCCCAACCGACGACAACCCAGCGGATCTAATCTCCCGAGGGCAGACTCCCAAGGAATTTCTGCGTCCGACCATCTGGAAAAACGGACCCGAATGGCTCAAGCAACAAGAGGAAAACTGGCCGATCTGGATTCCCACACCGCTGGGAGAAATCCCGGAACAAAAAAAGACGACCTGTCTAACGACGAATACCAACGATAACACACTCCTCCATCGATATTCGTCCTGGACAAGACTAATAAGAGTCGTCGCTTGGTGTCTCCGGTGGAGACATAAACAAAACCGATCTGCCCATCTAACAACAGAAGAATTAACTACGGCACACAACAAATTAATCAAGATAATGCAATCCAGTTACTTCGCGACTGTAATTCGGACACTCCAGAAAAATCGAAGCAGGAACGTTAGAGGGAAACTACAGCCACTAAATCCCTTCCACGACGAAGATGGGATACTACGAGTCGGAGGACGACTAACCAACTCACCTATACCCTTCAGTCAAAAACACCCAATTATTTTGCCGAAATCCACTGTAACAGAGCTCATTATAAATTAAGAACACCAGAACAACCATCACACAGGGACACAAGCTACACTATACGCGGTGAGACTGCGCTATTGACCGATCGACAGCCGTAGCCAAGTGTGGCGCACTATCAAAAGGTGCGTCCGCTGCTGCAGAGCCGACCCTCCACCAGTAGAATACCTAATGGGTGATTTGCCAGAGGCGCGTATTACCGAATCGCGTCCGTTCACGAACGTTGGAATCGATTACTGCGGCCCATTCTATATCAAGGAGAGGAGAGATCGCAACCGCCGTAAAGTCAAGATTTAAGTTGCCATATTCGTCTGTCTGGCAACAAAGGCTGTCCACAAAGAGTTGGTCAGCAATCTAACCACCGACGCCTTTCTCGTCGCTCTACGACGATTCGTCTCGCGACGAGGATACTGCGCAACCATCCTTACAGACAATGGCACAATTTCGTCCGGGGCTAACCGGGAGTTGCAAGAACTTCGGATCCTATTGCAGTCCGACGACGACAAGGAAAGGGTACAGAGTTTTCTCGCCGACCAACAGATACAATGGCGTTTCAATCCTCCAAACTCACCACACTTTGGCGGTTTATGGGAAGCCGCGGTGAAATCTTTCAAACGCCATCTCATTCGCGTCGTCGGCACGGAACTCTTGACTTTTGAGCATCTTAACATCCTTCTTATTGAAATTGAAATCATTCTCAGTTCACACCCACTGACTCCCATATCATCCGATCCGAAGGATCTCCCTGTCCTTACTCGCGCTCATTTTCTAATCGGCGACACGCTAACGAGTTTACGGGAGCTACCAGAAATTCTGGGAAGTATAGCTTCAGAGCTACCTTTAGGCAACTATTTTATGCCGGTTACCATTGAGGAAATTGATGGGAAAATAAAAAGAATTAGAAATAA